CTCTGCCCTCTCTCATCCCAACTCTGCGCCCTCCCACGCTCGGGTCCTGTCTGTTCAGCGCCTTGGGACGTCCTCCCAATGTGAAAGACGCTTTACAAATGTAATTTTGTTGTTGTTGTTTACTGAGATTATAATCTCTCCTTTGTTTATAATCCAGTTATCGCTCCTCTGAACTTTCCTCTTGCATCATATCTTGCTTGTGTACACAACACCCACGATAGAGAGAGTGAGTAAAGTCACAATACATTCAGTAGTTAATGTGGAGAAAAATACCCGTGCAGACTTGAAGGCCCAAATAGCCAGTTCCTGTGCAACAACAACAAATTACATTTACACCTTTCACGTAAGTAGGATGTCCCAAGGCACTGGACAATCAGGGATTGAGATAAACTTCTTGTTCAGTGTGTTAAAATAAAAACTCATCAATCTAACTTGTTCACTTACAAACTGCATAGTCATTGCACTTTACAGTATAGCCTTTTGCATCAGGAGCACATCGCAAGGTATCAAATTATTATAGTATTATTATTTGTTCTGACAGTCTCAATACTCCCGGGCGCTAGATGTAATGCTCTGATGCACATTGAAATGAGCCAAGGAACCTTCTTCATCCGAAGCAATCTCTGTGATCTTATGATCACATTTAATAATAATAATAATAATAATCCTTGCATTTGATATAGCGCTTTTCACGTCGGGAGGACGTCCCAAAGCGCTTCACAGAACACACTGTAAAGTGAATTGACTGTATATTTGTGGGCGAACGCGGCAGCCAATTGTGCACAGCAATGTCCCACAAACAGTCGTGGTTGAGTAATCAAATTCTTCTTTTTTTAAGGAATTATTACCCCGATCCACCAATCGACTAACTGGGTTCCGACTTCCTGCTAGGAAAACAGAGGTATGTGGAATAATGAAACGTACCCAACGTTTCGCCCTGCCAGGAATCAAACCCAAGTCTCTCACTTGCAAGGCGAGTGCCTCCACCACAAACAGCACCCTTCGCTATAAACAGCACCCTCCACTGTAACCCACACCTTCCGCCATAAACAGCACCCTCCACTGTAACCCACACTCTCCACTATAACCCGCACCCTCCACTATAACCCACACCCTCCACTATAACCCACACCCTCCACTATAACCCGCACCCTCCACTGTAAACTGCACCCTCCACTATAACCCGCACCCTCCACTGTAAACTGCACCCTCCACTATAACCCGCACCCTCCACTATAAACTGCACTCTCCGCTATAAACAGCACCCTCCACTATAACCCACACCTTCCGCCATAAACAGCATCCTCCACTATAACCCGCTCCCTCCACTATAACCCGCTCCCTCCACTATAACCCGCTCCCTCCACTATAACCCGCTCCCTCCACTATAACCCGCTCCCTCCACTATAACCCCTCCACTATAACCCGCACCCTCCACTATAACCCGCACCCTCCACTATAACCCGCACCCTCCACTATAACCCGCACCCTCCACTATAACCCGCACCCTCCACTATAACCCGCACACTCCACTATAACCCGCACCCTCCACTATAACCCGCACCCTCCACTATAACCCACAAACTCCACAATAAACCCACTAAACAATGAGGTTTCTGGCTCCGGGCCTCTTTCGCTGTCAGTGGAGCGGCTCTGGACGCGCAGTCGTAGGGAAATGGAAATGGGCTTCGCTCCATCGGAGGCCTCACTGTTGTGATTCTCAGTGTGTGTCTCTCTCTCTATGTGTATGCGAGTGTCTCTATGTAAGTGTGTCTCTCTCTGTGTGTGTTTGTGAGTGTGTGAGTGTGTCTGTGTGGCTCTCTCCTCTGTATATGTGTCTGTTCGTGAATGTCTCTGTGTATATCTGTGTCCCTCTCTCAACAACAACAACTTGCATGTGTATAGCGCCCTTCACACAGGGCAGCGTCTCAGAGCGCTTGACAGTGGTGGAGTCTGAGCCTGAGCATGGGGAGAAGGAGGGGAGAGGTGACCATAAACATAATCAAAAAGGAATGTCTTTAGGCGGGATTTGAAAGTGGGGAGGGAGAGGGCAAGGTGGAGGGACTGAGGGAGAGAGTTCCAGAGTTTCAGGACATCGTGGATGAAGATACGGCCACTGATGGTGGGGCAGAGGGAACGAGGGATGAACAGGAGGCCAGAGCCAGCCAAGAGGCTCTCCTCTATATGTATGTGTTTGTCTGTGTGTGTCTCTTCTATGAGTCTGTGTGTGTTTATGTGTGTATCTCTGTCTGTGAGTGTGTGTGTATCTGAGTGTGTATGTTTGTGTTTCTCTCTGTGTCTGTCTCTCTGTCTCTGGCTCTGAGAGGCAGGAGGTGGTGAGCTCCTGTAGCCCCGTCTGCTTTTTTGTGGATCTCCAGGCCCTTTGGGCCTGCGTTAGTGTTTCCCATTCCCACAAAATTTTGTTAAAGAAGAAATTCATTTTGAAAATTGTGGCATATTTCCCCGCAATTTTTGGGAAATATTTTCACACTTTTTATTGGCCCAGATTATCAGGTCCGTTAGGATGAGGGAGCTGAATTAACAACTCCTGGCGTTGATCCAACACACTCTGGATCTTGTCATTCTTATACCTGTGGATTAATTCAACTTCCCCACACTGTATGACTTAATAATGTCTCCTGATCAACTTCCCCAAACGAGGTTGATGGCACTAAGTGACATTGCTGGATTACTGCAAGTTGCAAAATTATTGCTTTAAATATTTGCAAATAGCCTAGAAAAGAGGAAATTAATTATAGCTCTCACCAACGTACTTTATTTCGAAAGGGACTCAGATATTAGTATTTATGATTTTAGGGTTTCAAAGGGACTTTGGATTTGGTGTATTTTCAGTTATATTTGGTACCAGTTCCAACAACAACTTGCAGGGTAACATCCCTGACAGCTTTAACAATGGAAAACAAAAGACTAACCAAAACTACAGTCCATTTCTCAGGACCAGGCGCTGGTCTGACACATGCACTGGTTTGTAATTGTATGTCTTGAGATGTCAAGAGGACATCTCACAGGATATACAGTACTGTAAAATGTAGTGACTGTGTATTTTGCCCGGGTTTATTGACTGAGCTCATCCCACAGGTTCATTCTTACTGAGCTGGCTCAGTCTTTAGGCTCAGACAAAGCAATATTTGAGGGCTAAGATTGACATCAGAGCCCCTGGACTAGCATTGGGGAGGCCATCTCAGAAGGTATGCATGACAGGATCAGGTTCAGCCGTGAACCTCAGCCCTGCAAAGGGGAAAATTAAGAATAATGGCTTGCATTTGGCTTGAGATTGAAGGGGGTTAAATTCAGAACAAATCTGCGGAAACACTATTTCAGTGAGCGAGTAGTAAACTTATCAAACAGGCTCCCTAGGGAGACGGCAGACGCAGAAAATACCATTTGTTTCAAGAATAAATTAGATAGATTTCTACTAGAAAACATTATCTTAGGATACAGTATATAGTTTGGGACTCAACATGTCAAGCAACTGCCAGGATGGTGGAAGGTGAACTACAACAAAATTCCATTTGTATAGCGCCTTTCACGTCAGGAGGACAACAACAACAAGATACATTTGTATAGCGCCTTCCACATCGTGAGAACATCCCAAGGCGCTGGACAGTGTACAGCATTTCAGACCCGAGGTGGGTGTCAGGATTGGGGAGGGTAGAGGGCAGGGGGGAAGGAGGGTAATCAAAAGCATGGTTGAAGAGGAGGGTCTTGTGATGGGTCTTGAAGGTGGCAAGGGAGGAGGGAAAGTGGAGCAATTGCAGGATGGAGTTCCAGACGGTGGTGGCAGAGTGACATAAGGCCCACTTGCCAATGGTGGGGCGGGCGAAGTGGGGGAGGTGAAGCAGGCCGGAGCCCGCTGAGCAGAGGGAGTGGGCAGGATGGTAGGGGGTTAGCAGGTCACAGAGGTAGGAGGTAGTGAGGCCATGGAGGGCTTTGAAGGTGAGCAGCATCTAAAATTGTATTCTGTGTAATGGGAAGCCAGTGGAGTTGGGCGATAGTGGGGGTGATAAGGGTCGGGGAGTCTGATGCGGGAGACGATACGGGCTGCAACGTTCTGGATGATCTGCAGCCTACGGAAGGAGGAGTTGGGATTGGCCGACAAGCAGGGAGTTTGCATAGTCAAGCCTGGATGTTAGGATGCCTGTATGAGGGTTTCGGCAGCCTGCGGTGTGAGACAATGGCGAAATTGCGGAGGTGGGGGAAGGCAGAGTGAGTCATGGCACGGATGTCAGCTAGAAAGGATAGTTGAGGGTCAAATAAGATGCCAAGTTTCCGGTCTGACTTAGTAAAGTGGACGCTGTATCCTTGGATGGATGGACTAGATGGATCTTGGTCTTCTTGCGCGGAGCAAATTCTTATGTTCTTATTTGCATTTTGTATTTTGCATTTTTTACACAAATTGTATTTGCATATTTTTTAAAAAATTAAAAAACAAAACAAATGCAATTTGTTGTTGTTGCAATAAGAAAAAAATGAATCAGATGATGGCTTCAGGAGAGAAAGGGGAGACCATTGGGATTGGGAGAGAAAGCTCCTCGTGGAGTCCTGTAGCTCAGTGGTTAGAGCACTCGCTTTGCAAGTGAGAGACCTGAGTTCAATTCCAGGCAGAGGGCGAAACCTTGGGCAAGTTTCCTTACTCCACACAGAGCCTAATAATAATCCTCCAAAACCAAAAACAATAATAAATTGGTCATTTTCAATCTACGACTGTTTTGGGACATTGCTCGTGCGCAATTGACTGCCGCGTTCACCCACAAATATACAGTCAATTCACTTTACAGTGTGTTCTGTGAAGCGCTTTGGGACGTCCTCCTGATCTGCTCTGGTCTCCATCCCTTTGTTACCAGTTCCACTCCCTTCCCTGTGGCGACACCGCCCTCTGTCAATCAAATGCCCCACGCAGCGCATGCTGGGAGCAGTTGTAGTTCCAAGGCTCCCTCACTGCGCAGCCGCACGCGGGAGGCGGAACTACATCTCCCAGGGTGCAGTGCGGGGGCTGCAGTGGCAGGCGGTGACGTCAAGTGGAATGCTGCAATCTTCCAGCTCATTGCAACAATGAGCGCGCGCCGCGCAATGTGTCCAGAGGCCCAAACCCAGACTAACCCAACCCAGACTAACCAGCTCTCACCTAACCCAGACTAACCAGCTCTCACCTAACCCAGACTAACCAGCTCTCACCTAACCCAGACTAACCAGCTCTCACCTAACCCAGACTAACCAGCTCTCACCTAACCCAGACTAACCCAACCCAGACTAACCAGCTCTAACCTAACCCAGACTAACCAGCTCTAACCTAACCCAGACTAACCCAACCCAGACTAACCCAACCCAGACTAACCAGCTCTAACCTAACCCAGACTAACCCAACCCAGACTAACCAGCTCTAACCTAACCCAGACTAACCAGCTCTCACCTAACCCAGACTAACCTAACCCAGACTAACCCAACCCAGACTAACCAGCTCTCACCTAACCCAGACTAACCAGCTCTAACCTAACCCAGACTAACCAGCTCTAACCCAACCCAGACTAACCAGCTCTAACCTAACCCAGACTAACCAGCTCTCACCTAACCCAACCCAGACTAACCCAACCCAGACTAACCCAACCCAGACTAACCTAACCCAGACTAACCAGCTCTAACCCAACCCAGACTAACCTAACCCAGACTAACCAGCTCTGACCTAAACCAGCTCTGACCTAAACCCGACTAACCCAGCTCTCACCTACCCCAGACTAAACCAGTTCTAACACAGCCCAAACCCAGACTAAATAGCTCTAACAACAACTTGCACTTGTGTAGCGTTTCAGAGTACCTCAGACAGTCTAACCCGCCCTAATCCAGGTTTAACTCAGACTAACCCATCTCGACCACAGCACAAACCCAGTGTAAACCAACCCTTATTGAGACTGAACTGGACTAACAGAGACTAATTCCAGAGTAACCCCAGTTCTATACACATTGACCTCAACCCCGATTTAATCCAAATCAGGTCTGCACTAACCCAGGCTCAGGCTGCCCTGACTCCCCGGGCCCTGCCCCCGGGCACTGGCCCCCTGGCCCCCAGGCACTGGCCCCCGGGCACTGCCCCCTGGCCCCCAGGCACTGCCCCCGGGCACTGCCCCCGGGCACTGCCCCCTGGCCCCCAGGCACTGCCCCCCGGGCACTACCCCCTGGCACTGGCCCCCGGGCACTGCCCCCCCTGGCACTGGTCCCCGGGCACTGCCCCCCTGCCCTGCCCCCCGGGCACTGCGCCCTGGCCCCCAGGCACTGGTTCCCGGGCACTGCCCCCCTGCCCTGCCCCCCGGGCACTGGCCCCCTGGCCCCTGCCCTGGCCCCCGGGCCCCTGCCCTGGCCCCCGGGCCTGGGAGGGAATCCCTCCTTTCCCTCACACACACGGTGTCGGGGCGCAGCGCCGCCTCCGCTCAGCTGATCGCTGCACCATTTTTGTTGGGTGTGAGAGAGAGAAAAGGCCAAACTGAGGTCCAGGAAGAAGCCGAACACATCACTCCTGTGTGGGGGAGAGAGGGGGAGAGAGGGAGGGAGAGGGAGAGAGAGAGAGGAGAGGGAGAGAGAGAGAGAGGAGAGAGAGGGGAAGAAAGAGACACACAGAGAGGAGGAAAGAGAGAGAGAAAGGGAAAGAGGACGAAAAAGAGAGAGAGAGAAGGAAAGAGTGAGAGAGAGAGAGAGAGAGATAAGGAAACAGTGAAAGAGAGAGAGAGAGAAAGAAAGAGAGAGAGGAAAGAGAGAGAGAAGGAAAGAGAGAGAGAAGGAAAGAGAGGAGAGAGAGAGAGAGAGGAGGAAAGAGTGAGAGAGAGAGAGGAGGAAAGAGTGAGAGAGAGAGAGAGGAGGAAAGAGTGAGAGAGAGAGAGAGGAGGAAAGAGTGAGAGAGAGAGAGAGAGGAGGAAAGAGTGAGAGAGAGAGAGAGAGGAGGAAAGAGTGAGAGAGAGAGAGAGAGAGAGGAGGAAAGAGAGAGAGAGAGAGAGAGAGAGAGAGAGGGAGGAGGAGGAGGAGAGGAGCCCCGGGGCTGCAGGAAGATGAAGATGAAAGACGCCAAAAAACCGTGTAAGTTCCTCCCGACTCCACCGCTCCGTCCACTCGCAGTGCAGAGCGCTGCGCTCCGCGGTCTCGGGGTTACTGACCACATTGAGGGACAGGAGATGGCGAAACGGTCCAATCCTTCAGCTCTCAAATACCCTTTAATCTGCACCGCGTCTCCTGGTCACCGGGTTCAGGAGGTGCGGATTACTGTGTCCCCTCTGTGTCTCTCTCTCTCTCTCTCTCTCTGTGCTCACAGGGCGGGAGATGGTGAAATGGACACAGTCCACTATCTGGTCACTGGTTTGGGCACAGATCCGACCCCCGAGATTCCTCTTGTGTGTGAGTGAGTGTGAGTGTGTGTGTGTGAGTGAGTGTGAGAGTGTGTGTGTGTGAGAGTGTGTGTGTGAGAGTGTGAGTGTGAGTGAGTGAGTGTGAGTGAGTGTGTCTGAGAGTGTGAGTGAGAGAGTGTGAGTGTGTGTGTGAGTGAGTGAGTGAGTGTGAGTGTGTGTGTGTGAGTGAGTGAGTGAGTGAGTGTGAGTGAGTGAGTGAGTGAGTGTGAGTGTGTGTTGGAAACAGTGCTATGGCCGCGACTGAAACAGTCATTCTTTTTGGCCATTGCTGCCTCTCACCGGCTCGGTGTTCAGTTGCGGTTACTGTTCACTAACTGATGTACACACACACCCAATTGCGTTTTATTCCATCCTTTTCTCTCTCTCTCTCGCTCTCTCTCCCCCCACCACACCCCCACTCTGCCATAATAATAATCCTTGCATTTGATACAGTGCCTGGTCACATCTTCGAGACGTCTCAAAGCACTTCACACAATATATATACTGTAAAGTGAATTGACTATATTTGATGGGCAACACACAGCAGCCAATTGCGCACAGCAGCGACCCACACACAGTCATGGATTGAAGTGACAATATTTTATTTTTGGGGGAAGGGATTATTACCCCTGGTAAAGCGATTTGACTAACGACCGGGTTCCTAATTACTGCTAGGTAAACATATAACATAACATGTAGGAGCAGGAGGAGGCCATCCGGCCCTTCGAGCCTGCCCCGCCATTCAATCATGGCTGATCTTCTAATCAAACTCCAGCTAATAACCTGACACTGCCTTATCCCCATATCCCTTAATACCTTTTGCAATAAGAAATCTATCTATGTCAGTCTTGAATATGTTCAAGGACTGAGCGTCAACAGCCCTTTGGGGTAGTGAGTTCCATACATTCACTGCCCTTTGAGTGAAGAAGTTCTTCCTCAACTCAGTGCGAAAGGGCTGCCTCTGATTTTAAGGTTGTGACCCCTGGTTTTAGTTTCTCCAACCGGGGAAACAATCTCCCACTATCTACTCTATCATGCCCTTTGATGATCTTACAGGTTTCTATAAGATCCCCTCTAATTCTTCTATATTCTAGAGAATATAGGCCCAAATTGGTCAGCCTATCCTCGTAACTCACCCCCTTCATCCCTGGCACTAACCTAGTAAATCTACGCTGCACCCCCTCCAAGGAAGTACATCCTTCCTTAAATAAGGAGAGCAAAACTGGACGCAGTATTCCAGGTGTGGTCTCACCAGGGCCCTATACAGTTGCAGCAAGACTTCCCTACTCTTATACTCTAATCCTTTCATAATGAATGCTAACATACCGTTCACCTTCCTAATTGCTGCTGCACCTGCAGACTAACTTTCTGTGATTGGTGTACAAGGACACCCAAGTCCCTCTGGAACTAACACATTCCAATCTCTCCCCTTCTAAAAAATAACCCGCTCTACTGGTTTTGCTACCGAGGTGGATGACTTCGCACTTCCCTACATTATACTTCATCTGCCACCTACCTGCCCAATCACCTAACCTATCTGTCTCGCTACATTTTTTTAATGTCGTCCTCTGTGTCGGCACTTCCTCCTTGTTTTGTGTCATCTGCGAATTTAGATATATTAGCTTCGATGTTCTCATCAAGATCATTGATGTCGATGGTAAATAGCTGAGGCCCAAGGACTGATCCTTGTGGCACTCCACTAGTCACATCCCGCCAATCCGAAAAGGACCCGTTTATCCCTACTCTTTGTTTCCTACCTGTTAACCATTCCCCAATCCATGTTAATATGCTCCCCCCAATTCCATGGGCCCTTATCCTTTGGACTAATCTTTTATGCGGCACCTTATCGAATGCCTTCTGGCAGAGGCATGTGTAATAAGGAATCCTGCCTAAGGTTTTGTCCTGCCCGGAAATCAAACCCAGGTTCTCTCGCTTGCGAGGAGAGTGCCCTAACCAATATACTACAGGACTCTCTTCTCTCTCTCCTTCCACTCTCTCTCTAATATATATTATAAACCCTTGGGGCTGTTGAGGTTACACAAAACATGTTCTGCAATTAATTAGATGAGGTGGAATAAGAGAGATATGTGTGTGGGAGTATTAGAATGGATGGAGGTTCATGAGGAGTGTACAAACTGTCATTGATTACCTGGGCCCAAAATTGCCTGTTTTGGTGTTGTAGGTTCTTTGTAAAATTATTCTGGTTGTGATTTTTTTTAAAAAATGCCTTGCATCACAATTGGGGGACATCGCCGTGCGCAGATTGGCTGCTGCATTCGCCTACGGAATAGTCACAGTTAATACGCTTCACAATAAATCCTGCAAGCGCTTTGAAAAGTCCATGCCTCCCCTCGCCAAATGCAAGGATTATTCTTAATAACAACTTAAGCACCTCTCACGCAGGGCAGGGTCTCAGAGAGCTTGAAAGTTTTAAAAACTTGCATTCATGTTTCTGTTGAAATAAAAGAGGTGGGGAGGACAAAAGCGCTGGAGGGCTGAAATACAAACGGCACTGGTGGCATTCCACAACTTGTCAGACAGCCTCTGAAAAAGAAATGTATATCAGATATCAGGAGCTCGGTTCGGGCTGCATTTTTGAATGAAGCCTTGGGACAGAAAACTAAAGCGAATATCGAGGGAGTGAAACACACTTGTAAATTGATTTAACTTTAATGTCTTTAACCCTTCCCTCCCTCTCTCCAAACACTCCCCACCAAGTCTGATGATGAAACAAATCGCCCACAATGCACATGTCCGCTCCACTTCACAGTACATCACAGAAGTGAATTGAGTGGAGTAGATTCCCCTCTATATAGGATAATATGATATACCTTTCACATTATAAGGCAGGTCAGATTAGAAGAGCCTGCATCCCATTCCAACAGTCTATCTATAGGCTTTCCATGTGTCGATGGAACATATGGAATTCTCAGTTTGGTTTGGTTTGGATACTCTTGAGTATGATGGGTTTCTGTATGAGTCAGACACTTGGCTGACCAAAAGAAAAGGGAGAGGCTTGATTCTGATGTTTCAAGAAATCGGGAGATCGAAAATCATCAAGTAGGTAGGATTTGTTTTGTTCAAAGCCAACATTTTTTGCATTTGCTATGTAAGTGGCTTAACCTCCAACACCGAACCCCCCCACCCCCACCCCGTTTTACGAAGCGCATTTGCATTTACAGAGAGTGATGGGAGAAAATTCAACAATCCAGAGTTGCCCCTTTTAAATGGATTATGAGATTAAGCATTATATGTATTAGTAGGATTTACTGTCTGGCTCAATCTGCTGACTCGCTGTTTGTTTGCATTGTTACTATGAGTTTAAGTGCTGCGCTGGTTTTAAACACCTAATTTATAATTTTTTCCCTGAAGCAAAGCAACATTAGATTTCAACAAAATGTTACCCTCACCCACCCTCCCTCCCTCCGTCCAGTCATTGTTTTCGTCTTTGGCCTGATGTGTTCTGGAGTTCATGGCATGAATGTGCATCTCAGTCTGGCTCAAAAGGTGCTTAAAACCAGCACAGCACTTGAACTCAGCTGTCAGCTCAGTCAAAAGTTTGTGGGTCCAAGCCCCACATGGGTACCTTGAATCTCATCATCTAGTCTGACGTTCCACTGCAGGGCTGAGGGTGTGTTGCATTGACAGAGGTGCTATCCTTCACATGAGATGTTAAACAGAGAGCCAGTCTCTGCCTGTTCAGGTGGACATTAAGAGATCCTGTGACACTACTCGAAAATAGAAGCGAGTTTCTCCCAATGTCCTGACCGACAATCCCCTGAAATTTACTTCATGGCTGTTTGTGGGACATTGCTGTACGCAAATTGGCTGCCGAGTTCACCCGTAAAATACACAGTCACTGCACTTATCCAGTGAAGTACTTTGAGACATCCTCCTGACGTGAAAGGCGCCCTATCAAATGCAAGGTTTATTGTATTTTGGGGAGGAAATTTTCAGTTTGTGCTATGAAGTAGTCCGTAAGGCACAATTGTGTGGTTTTACAGTTTGTAAATAAATGCTCTCGGACTTAACTTTGCAATCTCTAAAGATATTAATCTACTGATTCCGAAAGTATTAATCAGCACAGAAGGCTTATCTGATGAATGGATTTATATGAATATCTTGAGGTGCAAAACATTTGTATTTAGCTGTGTATTACAAAGACTGGCTTTGGCAGCGTCCAGTTTGACTGTCAATCCTGAAACAACGCTTTTAAAATAAAACAGTAATTAGCCTCCTGCACAGACTGTCAATAATTGTTAAAGGTCGTGGAATTTGTTAACCAAACAGTAATTAAATGGGTGTGTTCCGTTCCCAGCCCAAAGAGTATACAAGTCCAAAGTACTTCGTTACGGCATTCTTTTTTAATACTCCTTATGATCACAAAATACACAGTCAGTCTATTTTACAATATACTCTGTGAAGTACTTTTTAAGACATCTCAACGGCATGATAAGGCGCTATACCAAGTGTAAGAATTATTAATTATTGTAATTATTTTAACACCTAAAAATTCCATGCAAATCGTAGTACGTTATGGGCCTCGGTTTTGTTCCAAATCTTGTTTAATTGCACATACTGTACTCTACGCAATTGCAGTGTATGTACTCAATTTCATAATGGTTATTTAATACTTCAAGTTTACTGTGAATTCAATGTGTAAGGTTGGGTCCGAAATCTGATGATAACAGACCATTCAGCCTATCAAGCCTACGGAACAGGTTCAGCCACTGCCTGACTTATTCCCATTCCTGTGCCCTTATTGCCTACGATTAGTAGAATTGCTGTTAAACGTAACCCAGACTTTGTACTCTGCTGCAAACTTTTGCATTAGTTGTTCACTTTTCAGTCATATGCAGTTGTTGCCCCAACCTGCCTGCAAATAGGAGTCCTGTAGCTCAGGGGTTAGAGCGCTCGCCCTGCGAGCAAGAGGACCTGGGTTCGATTCCCAGCAGAGCGAAACCTTAAACAAGTTTCCTTACTCTGCATGCTTCTGTTTACTTAGCGGTAAGCAGGGACCGGTTGTTAGTCGATTGACGGATCGCTTTCCAGGGGTAATAATCCCTCACAAAAAAAAATTTGTTTGTGGTCCACTGCTGTGTGCAATTGGCTCCCGTGTTTGTCCACAACGCACATGGTCGTTCTATTTCACAGTATGTCATGAAGCGCTTTGAGACGTCCTCCTGATGTGAAAGGCGCTGTATCAAATGTAAGAAATGTTGTTATTGTCACGGTTGTTGAATCCAGCAAACTTAATGGTTTAATGGGCCTCACTGCTTGGTACTCACATTGCACTTTGCTCTTAAGACCTATGAAATGCTCAATAAAGGCGATGAACAATGTGACAAATTGCACAAGCCTTTTTTTGTTTGAGTTGCCTGTGCTACGTACTGTATTGTACTGTACTTTGTTTACCAAAGTCTGGATTACTTACTTGTCCAGTATCACTGTGTGCTAGCTGGTTGATGTGCACTTTGTACACTCCCTGCAATGAGCAGTAATTAAAGCCACAAACAAAAATTCCAAACTCGGAAGCCTTAATAAGTAGATTTCTGCTCTCTCTAATCCATTTCCTCAGCATGAGTACAGGCACTGTTTAAAGACTCTGAATTTACCAATTCCTAATTCCAAACTTAGTGTTTGGTCAGAAATGCACAGCGCACACTTCTGGAGGATTAACTTAATGCTTCCGAACTATTGACTGTAAGACAGAATTGGGTCAGTGATTGTGATAATTTCTGAAATAACCTGTTCTGAGATTTTTCAGGGTCCAAAGCTAACATTTTTTGAATGAATGTGTCGTAATAATGCTTGAGACCAATGCAGACAAAACCCTTGTCCATCCCTTTGTCACTTCCCGGCTGGACTATTCCAATGCCCTCCACACTGATCTCCCCAGCTCCACCATACACAAAATCCAATTAATTCAAACTCTGCCACCCAGATGCTCACTCACACAAAACTCTGTACCTCAATCGCACCAGTCCTTGCCAGGCTCCACTGGTCAGAGTTACCCAAATGATCAATTTGAAGATCCTCTCACTCGTTTTCAAATCCCTTCATGTCCTTGCACCTTCCCACCTATCTGATCTGTTTACCCACTCCACCACTCACTGTCTCCGCTCAGTTGGCTCCAGCCTCCCGTTTGTCCCTTGTGCTCTCCGCTCCACCATCGCTTCAGTCACTGTGTCCCGAAACTCTAGAACTCTCTCCCTCAATCCCTCCGCCTTGCCCCCTCCCTTCCTCCTCATCTTCAAATCCTCCCTGAAGATCTTCCTTTTTGATCATGCTTACAGTCACCTCCCTCTCTCAATGGCTCGGTGTCAGACTCCGCCACTGTCAAGCGCTCCGGAACATTGCCCATGTGAAGGGCGCTATATAAATGCAAGTTGTTGTATTGTGACACGCAATGTCGCCAGCTTAAATAATAATAAATCCTTGCATTTGATATAGCACCATATCACGTTGCGATGTCTCAAAGAGCTTCACAGACTATATTGTAAAGTGAATTGACTGTATTTTGTGCGTGAAATTTGGCAGCCAATTGTGCACAGCAATGTCCCACAAACAGTTATGGATTGAGTGACCCCAATTTTTTTTTGAGGGATTATTATCCCCCGGAAAGCAATCAGCCAATTGACTGACAGCTGGGTTCCCACTTACCGCTGGGTCAACAGAGGTGTGTGGAGTAAGGAAACTTAACTAAGGTTTCGCCCGCCCGGGAATCAAATCCAGATTCTCTCGCTTCCACTCAATTTAACACTGAAAAGAAACAGAGTGAGAAATACCGCTGCATTAAACACGATGGTGTGTCAATCTTTAACATTTTTTTAAAAAATATGTTTTTTTAACTTAAAAAATGTGGGCGACTCTCAGAGTAACTGTTCTGTGGTTTAACCCATTTGCCTTTCCTGACAGCTTTCCCCTGGTTCGGGATGGACATCGGAGGGACGCTGGTTAAGCTGACTTACTTCGAGCCAATCGACATCAGCGCCGAGGAGGAAGAGGAGGAGGTGGAGAGCCTGAAAAGCATCCGCAAATACTTGGTCTCCAATGTAGCCTATGGCTCCACAGGAATCCGAGACGTACATCTTGAGCTGAAGAACCTCAGCCTTTTTGGACGCAAAGGGAACTTGCACTTTATCCGCTTCCCCACCCACGACCTGCCCACGTTTATTCAGATGGGGAGAGATAAGAACTTTTCCACGCTCCACACCGTGCTCTGTGCCACCGGAGGAGGCGCCTATAAGTTTGAAGAGGAATTCCGCACAGTAAGATCGCAGTGATAAACTAATGTGGCGCACTGTAACCGGGCTAGGGGGCTAGAGATTGTTTGGCGAGGCAACGCAGTGCAGCCCCCTTAGCGTGTATGATGGAAATGATCTCTTGTCTTGGCTCAGTTGAATCTCTTTCGTCCCTCTGTTGGTGGGATCAGTATTGCAGTACTTCCTCTCTGAGACTGGAATGCAGAGCTCACTTGAGAAAGAAAAAGTGGTCACTCAGTGCAGTACTGTTTGAGGGACACTGCTGTGCACAATTGGCTGCCACGTATTGCCCACAAAATACACAAGTCAATCCGATTTACAATATATCCAGTGAAGCGCTTTGAGATGTCTCAACAATAAAGCTCTATATCAAATGCAAGGATTATTATTATTTACCTGGTCACTAGGCTCAGGAGAGGAGATCCACTCACCTGACCTGCTCAAGTGGTCATGAAGACATGGTTCAGGCCCGCATTGTCCTTGACAATTTAGGGCCTAGGAGAGTTGGGGGGCGGGGGTTTGGGGCTTGTCTGCGGGGACAACCCGCGTTCCTTAAGTGAAATGGATTTGGTCTAATTCAGTAAATGGGGATGAGCAGGCCTAACCTCACTCACCATTGGAAAAATAAAGTTGAAGCTATTTCAAGTGAAGCGTGATGCCAAAATGTAGGCCCCCACTCCACACACACACACAGCATCCCCTTTATAACACAATCAGATGCATAAAATTAGACCCTGTGTTGTAACAAGGTCAAAACAAAAAGAGGTCAGATCAGGCCGCTGGAGCTGACTGGCTTCCTGACTGTGTGCATTGGCAAGTTGTTGTTGTAGTACGACTTGACACATTAACACACGATCATGTTTAATGCAGTGGGATTTCTCTCCCAGTTTCTTTTCAGTGTAAAGTTGACTTGCTGTTTGTGGCAGTAATCGCATTCACCTCTCTTGCATCGCCCACAAAATACACTGTACTTTACGGTATATCCTGTGAAGCGCTTTGAGACGTCCGGACGACGTGATAAGGCGCTATATCAAATGCAAGGATTGTTACCCTGAGAAATTCAAGATAATGCCTTTCAATCTTAATGATCTTACCCTCTGCTTGTGGTGAATATTGGCTCAGGAGTCAGCTAAGCTCTGGGATGCTACCCTGTGTGGGGGGTCACTGTATAAATCCAAGTTTTGTCTGTTAACCACGTGCACGGGACTTGCGATGAGACTAATGGCACTGTATTGGTTTCAGATCGTCAATCTGCAGTTACACAAACTGGATGAACTGGACTGTCTGGTCAATGGCCTTTTGCATATCGACTCTCTGAGTTTCAATGGCCAGGCAGAGTGCTACTACTTTGAGAATGCGTCTGACCCCGAGAAATGCCAGAAGATGCCGTTCAATCTTGACGACCCATACCCTCTGCTTGTGGTGAACATTGGCTCAGGAGTTAGCATATTAGCAGTGTACTCCAAGGACCATTACAAGAGAGTCACTGGGACCAGGTAATACTGATTGGTTTCAATTTAACCTCGAGGATTTCCTCATCCAGCCTCAGTTTCTGCACTAATTCTTCAACTCCCTTCATGCCCTGGCATCTCTCTACCTCGCCAACCTGGTTATCCCCCAACCCACTGCCCGCTGCCTCCACTCGATTGCTCTGGCCACCTGCATGTCCCTTGTGCCCTCTGCTCCGCCATCGGTGGCCATGCTTTCAGCCACTATGCCCCAACATATTGCAACACTCTTGTTCTAACCATCTACCTTGCCCCCTCCTTCCCCATCTACAGGTCGCGCCTGAAGACCTTCCTATTCGATGCTATTAGAATACATGTTGTTGTTGCTGTTGTTATTGTAATGTTTGTGTTTTCAGTTTAGGAGGCGGGACCTTTCTGGGCCTGTGCTGTTTGCTGACTGGCTGCGAGACGTTTGACGAAGCTCTGGAAATGGCGTCTAAAGGCGACAGCACCAATGCTGACAAATTGGTGCGGGATATCTATGGGGGAGACTATGAGCGCTTTGGCTTGCCAGGATGGGCAGTGGCATCTAGGTAGGAACATTCGATTGACACACACGCAAGGCGTCCTGGCTAACAATCCTTTAAATCAGGGTGGCCCAACCTTTTGATTGCTGAGGGCCAGATGCCCTATTTGAGAAACGTCCACGGGCCATATAACCAATATTTCTGCGTTTCCCTTCCAGAAACATAACATTTGTGGGTTATGGAGGGAGTGGGTGGGCCGGATTACATGGAGGAAGAGGGATGGGCCAGAAGAAATCAGCCCACGGGCCACCAGTTGGACCACCCTGCTTTAAATAAAATCGGTTGTTCACTTTGTGGCTGTTCATCCGACATCGATGTCTACATCTTACCAATTCTTGCCAGGCTCCGATGGCTCCCCATCACTGAACGACTCGACTTCAAGCTCCTCTCGTGTTCAAATCCATTCACTCTCTGGCACCTGCCCTACTTCTCCGACATCCTCACTCCCCAGTCCACCACCTGGCGCCTCTGCTCGACTGGCACCGGCCTCCTGCTCGTCCCTCGCACCCTCCGCCTCACCATCGGAGGTCGTGCTTTCAGCCACTATGCCCCAAAACTCTGGAACACTCTCCCTCCCTCAATAGGGCGCCTTGCCCCCTCTCCTCCCTCTTTCAAATCCCCCCTGAAGACTTATCTGTTCAACCTTGCTTATGGACACCTCCCCCCTTCCACCGGCTCAGAGTCAGGCTCCGCCACTGTTAAACGCTCTGACACGCTACCCTTCGTGGAGGGTGCTATATAAGAGCAAGTTGTTGTTGTTGATGTGTGCAAATTGGCTGCCATGTTTGCTTACAAATGCACAGTCAGTAGACTACATTATAAGATGCATTAACGATTCCACTTAGAAATTCTATAAGATCAGCTTCACTATTAATCTAAGAGAAAAACAAGGAAAAACCCGAAAAACAAACTCGAAAGTTTGGTGGGTTTTGATGTTTTTTTGAAGTCTGGGAACAGCATACATTGTGAAGGAGAATGGCGATGTTTAAAGGTTAGGGGGCCTTATTGACATGATACTCACAGCCTCTGTTCCCTTCTGTCTGTTCTGCAGCTTCGGCAACATGATCTGCAGGGAGAAGCGGGAGTCTGTCAGCAGAGAGGACCTGGCTCGAGCCACCTTAGTCACCATCACAAACAATATAGGATCAATTGCAAAGATGTGTGCCCTCAATGAGGTACAGCAACCACCGATTATTTTCCTCCAAAGCGTGTGGGCTCATGGTGCTGCAGCCCAGTGTTGAGTGTGAGATGTTCTATGCTGTTTATTTCGAGGCCTCCGTTTTGTAACCTTGTCTGCACTCTCTCTCGTGGTTGCTCCACGTGGGTTAATGTTGGGTAATTTCTACTACGTCCACTGAAGTGACACATCGTGGAGTCCTGTAGCTCAGTGGTTAGAGCACTCGCTTTGCAAGCGAGAGACCTGAGTTCAATTCCAGGCAGGGCGAACCCTTGGGCAAGTTTCCTTACACCACACAGAGCCTAATAATAATCCCTCAAAAACCAAAAACAATAATAAATTGGTCATTTTCAATCTACGATTGTTTGTGGGACATTGCTGTGCGCAATTGGCTGCCGCGTTCGCCCAAACAAATATACAGTCAATTCACTTTACAGTGTGTTCTGTGAAGCGCTTTGGGACGTCCTCCCGACGTGAAAAGCACTATATCAAATGCAAGGATTATTATTATTATTATTATCATCTTCCCAGCGAGGCCTTACTGTTTGTGAGACACTACTATATGCAATTGGCTGCCGATTTTTGCCCCAAAAATATACAGTTAATTCACTTTACAGTATATTCTGTGAAGCGCTTTGAGACGACTCAACAAAGACGTGATAAGGATTATATTTTATTACTGGGGGTCGTAGGTCACATTGCTGGCTAATTCTTCTCTCTGCTACCTTACAACAAAAGTGGAGAGGGAGTAGCGGGGGCTGGGCGGGCAGGGTGGGGGCTTGTGTTCCAGGGAATTCTTCGTTCTGTTTTTATTTGCGACTTATCCTGAGGAAAAATCAGTCAAACCAATCGCTGTGCCTTCATGACGTCTGTACTGTTTCTGCTGCCGTTCGAGCAAGAAAGCACAGTGGTTCTCCGTGCCTTCGGCTTCTTTACAGTGCTGCCTTGTGACGTGAAGATCAAGCAGCATTGTACAGGGCTATGAAGGCACAGAGGCTTGACATCGCACGGTGGGCTTGAAAGGGGGCAGTACTTAGACGTGCCCACAGAACAACTGTACCCTGACTTGACTCCTTACTTCAGATCCGAGTTGGAGATAAGGAGACTGGAGTTGTTGGCAGTACAGTTTTAAAACTTTGTGCCATATGGGATTGGAAGAAGGTCCAGCTTTACACTGTGTGCAGTGATGAAAGGCGATTTCAAAGCATTATTGTCAATGAGATGCACAGCTTCCCTCCTTAAATCAGTCTGACCAGTGTTGTATTATTGGCTGTTCCCTAAGACAGGCACAGTAAATGTCTCCATAAACAGGCCATTGCAACGTTCTGTTTGATTTCGGTAAATTTCCTCTCCTTTGTAGCCTGTGTCCTTCATATATAACCTTTCACAGTGAGGGTCTAGCTATAGAGGGTTTCACAACCCCAATACTGCTTTCTCCTGCCCCAGGATCTGAGAGCCCATCATCACCATCCTCGCTCAGCTCCACTCAGCCTATATAACCATAGAAGTCTAGCATTCTGTTCCACTGCCTGGGACCGATTGTGGTGCTAACCAGCTTGTTTATTTTTTGTGACTTTCTGTAGAAGATAAACCGGGTTGTGTTTGTCGGCAACTTCCTGCGTGTCAACACGCTGTCAATGAAGCTCCTGGCGTATGCACTGGATTATTGGTCGAGAGGCCAGCTGAAGGCACTGTTTCTTGAGCACGAGGTACGTGTGTCGGTGTTTGTGTGTATTGATGTGTGTGCCGGTGAGTGTCGGGGCATGTGTGTGTGTGTGTTGGGGTATGTGTGTGTGTCGGCGCTCGTGTGTGTCGGGGTGTGTGTGTGTGTCGGAGCGTGTGTGTGTGTGTCAGGGCGCGTGTGTGTCAGGGCGCGTGTGTGTCGGGGCGTGTGTGTGTGTCAGTGCATGTGTGTCGGGGCGTGTGTGTGTGTGTCGGGCCGCATGTGTGTCGGGGCATGTGTGTGTCAGCGCATGCGTGTGTTTGTCGGGGCATGTGTGTGTGTCAGGGCGTGTGTGTGTGTGTCGACAGGTGTGTGTGTCGGCGCATGTGTGTGTGTGTTGGTGTGTGTGTGTTGGTGTATGTGTGTGTGTGTTGGTGTGTGTGTTGGTGTGTGTTTGGGTACATTTTACTGCTAACCTACATTTTTCATTTTATTGATAAAAGCTAAAACATAAGGAAATAGCACATATTAGATTGTTGTGAATTGCTTCTTTAACAAAAACTGGATGGGACATTTTTTTNGGGTGGGGATGGTGGGGGTGACACCAGCACAGGCTACAGGAGCTCACCACCTCCTGCCTCTCTGGGCCAGCACCGCAGACAGAGACAGAGACCCAGAGGGAGAGGGAAACACAGACACATAGAGATTCACAGACACAATGAGACACACATACTCACAGATGAAGAGAGAGACACACAGATGCAGAGAGAGACACACACACTCACAGACACGGAGAAACACACACACTCAGGCATGGTGAGACAAACCCACAGACACAAGAGAGACACACACTCACAGACACAGAGGGAGACACACACGCTCACAGACACAGAGAGATGCACATACTCAGAGAGAGTGACACACACATTCATAGACACACATACGCACACAGACAGAGGAGAGAGAGACATGCATACACATTCACACAGAGATACACATAAATACACACACACACATATAGAAGAGGCATAGACACTCACAAACATACATACAGAGGAGAGAGACACTCACACAGACACTCAAACACATAGAGAGAGAGACTCACACAGACACTCATAAACACAACAATAACTTGCATCTATATAGTGCTCTCCACCCCGGGCAGCGACCCAGAGCGCCTTACACTGGTGGAGCCCGATGATGAGCCAGGGGGAGGGGGAAGGTGACCATAGGCACGGTCAAAGAGGAAGGACTTCAGGCGCAACCTGAAAATGGGGAAATGGAGGGCAAGGCAAAGGGAGGGAGAGCGACCCATAGCTTTGGGGTATAGTGGTTTAAGGCACGGCAGTTGATGGTGGAGTGGAGGATACGAGGGACAAAGAAGAGGCCAGAGCCAGTAGAGCTGAGGTAGCGGGTAGTGCTGTGAGGAGAGAGCAGGTTGGAGAGATGGGGGGGTGAAGGGATTTAAACACTAGAGTGAGGATAACTCAGAGAGAGAGAGACATTCACACAGACACTCACAAACAGAGACACACACACACACACTCACAAACAGAGAGGGCGAGAGACTCCCACACAGACAATCACAACAGCAGGGCCTCCGAGTGGAGCAAAGCCCATTTGCTGCTTGTTTATCCTCTGTGTGATGGGAAGCCAGTGGAGTTGGGCGAAGATGGGGGTGATACGAAGCCCCGAGGTTCATGCGCAGCGTCAATGTGTGATTCCACTGTTAAATAGTTTGATACTTTCAGTGCTCTAGGTGTTTTGCAGAAAGGTTCACCCTCTCACTTACAACGTGTTCGCTGCTTTCACTCCTAACCACAGGGTTACTTTGGGGCAGTGGGTGCTCTGCTTGGACTCCTGAATGCCACCTAGGAGCCAAGGCGTAGGCAAGACGCAGTGTACTCCACCGGAATGGACGAGTTTACTACAAGGTAGCATGAAAAGTGGAACCAAATTCATTGATCCTGGGGACCGGGGAGAAGTGGGGAGGGAAAGAAACCTGGTGGACGTGTAGGGAATGTGTTTGACCCACACGCAGACTGGTTTGTATTGTAGAACCACTCATTCCATTCGAACAATGAAAATCTTCCACTTTCTTATCGGGATTCCAATGAGTTGGGCATTGCATTGCAACATAGCCTCGCCATACAAGCTGCTGTTTTGTCGCACGAAGAACGGTGGTGTGTTTGGGTTTTTTTGCTTGTGTTTGTTAATTTAATTACTCTTTTAACATATTAACTCGATCTTCAAAATCTTTCAGGAACCTAATCATATTCAAAGGGTTCTTAGTCTTGGGTGGGTCAGTACTAGCAAAGAGCTCTGATGAATCAAGCACTAAAGTTCATGGATTTTAGGACAGAAATCCTTTAAAGTGGTACAAAAAGAAGTAGAAATGTTTATGAGAAAAAGATTCAGGTTTGTTTGTTTTTGCCTTCACAAGGGGCCGGGAGGTCTTTGTGGTCTAAAACAAGAGGATAGTTCAGCAGTGGTTTCACAGCTGTAATCTTCTCTGGGATTTAGATAACCACTAAAGGCAGGGAATCCTCCCACTCAGCTCCTGTTAGCGCTGCAAGCCAAATCCCGAATGGATAGGGTTCCCTGCAAGCCAAAGCCCCCAGGCTCGGCATCAGACTCCGCCACTGTCAAGCTCTCCACGACACTACCCTATGTGAAGGGCGCTATATAAATCAAGTTGTTATTGTTGTCGGGTAGGGTGGTCCTAGCTGGACAAGCAGTGGGAAAGCGTGCCAGACAGTGATCTCAATGGCAAGCTATGCAGTTTCAGCTGGTTAAACTCCTTCAGTTACTCCACCACACACCTTGGGGTCCTCAAGCCTTGGCTCTTGCCAACCTGCGCCTAATACAATCTTAACTCTGGAATTTCCATGTGTAGGAGGGATGCATGGAATTCTCAGTTTGGTTTGGATACTCTTAAGGGAAGCATGGCAATGTGTCAGACACCTGGCTGACCAAACAAAATGATCGTTAGAAAAAAAACACCCAAACTTCCTTTGTCATAGTTTCTGATGTCAGTGTCTCATACTGCGAGCCTGTCTATTTCTCATTCATTCCAGCCATCTATCCCCTCCGGCCAGCACAACTCATTCTGATGTAAATAATCAGTCTTAAATGTATTATAAATGCAAATCACGATAGATGTTGTTATATATAATAAATATGTTAATGTGAACTTGGCTTAATTGTGGAGAAACAGATGTCTGTGTTTAGCAGAAGGGGGTCTGGTGCATTGCAGAGAGCCAAAAAAAACATATTGCAGAGATTAATGGTACAGTACAATAAAAATTTACATTTATATCGTGAAGGGCCTTTCATGTCGGGAGGATCTCCTAAAGCACTTAAGTGAGTTCAGCAAATTGCACAAGATTTTATAGTTTTGTTTCAAAGTTCAAGCACTGAATACTTTCCAATTGTTGGGCTGCTCCTTGCCTCTCCAATTGGGTGTTTTTTTTTAAGCTGTGAGAGATATTCCCAGGGAAATTCGCAGTGACGTGCGATTAATATGCAATTCTTTAATTTCACTTTGGCACAGCTGAATCTGAAATTGCATCGATCGCTCCCTTTTTTTTTGTCTCGCTGCGGCTGAGCGACCACATCTCACGACGGCAAAGCCATTCTTCCGGAAAGTTCTGTGCTGCACTCCTTCATGCCGCATGGGCCAAACATGTTGTGAAAATGTCACATATGTAACAGCAGCCCGGGCTGGAGAGATTATATTGTGAACCCGTCTCGGTGAATGGGCACAGGCTCAGCCCCCGGGTGTCAGTCCCAGGAGAAACTTACGCTATTTGAATGTGTTCGAACCAATTCTGTGTGTCAGTGGGGTTTTTTAACCGCTATGCGTCCAACTGCTAACTAAACCATGCATGCATTCTTTGTGCTACAAATAACAGCAACAACAACTTGGATTTATATAGCGCCCTCCACGCCGGACGGCATCTCAGAGCGCTTTACAGTAACAGATCTCGGGACCGAGGCAGGGGGAGGGGGAGGAAGGTGACCAAAGGCGCGGTCGAAAAGAAAGGGCAGCAACAACATGTATATTTATATATTTCCCTTCGGAGCGCTTGACAGTGGTGGAGCTTGAATCAGGGAGGGAGGGGAAATGAGGTGAGTGTAACACAGTTGAAAAGGAAAGTTTTCAGGTGTGATCTGAAAATGGGCAAGGAGAGGGAAAGGGGCAGGCGGGGAGGGGTTAAGCCAGGGAGATTCGGGTTGTGACTGAAAGCATGGGCATCAATGGTTGAGCAGAGGGGAAGAGGGGTGTGTAGAAGGCAGGGTGAGGAGTTGATGGGGTGGGGGGAGGATGAAGAATAAGCGGCACCATCTGCCATCAGGGAATATGGCTCAGTTATGCCAAGCTAGATTTCCACCTGGCAATCTCAATGGTTGGTACAGCCTATTTAACAGGCCATTTCTAGTCAGCTTGAGGCTGTCCTCTCATCAGTCAGTCAGTGGAGTCGAGATCTTCCCTGATAACCTTCTGTGGTAAATGTGAATTTGGGAGCGTGTGCAAGCCCTGTCATTTTTTTTGTAACTAATGCTTTAATAAAAACTTGATTTTATTTAAAGAACAAACAAAGTCCTAAATCAGATCTAGTGCTTGTACGTTACAGAATTACAGTTACAGAAGTACGATTTTCAGAATGTCCTGTTGAATTTGGTGGATTCGAGTTGAAATGGACAGAAAGCATCTCAATTATTTTGTGTGTGCGTGTGTGTGGTGCCAAACACCACCAGCCTTGAAATCTTAACGTTTTGTGGTCCAAATAACATTTGCCAACCTGGAAATGCATTTGATTCAGACAAAAAGCAGTGCCTTGAGATTTTATTGTATTTGATTAATAGTAATAAACCTTGTATTTGATATAATAATAATCCTTCCATTTGATATAGCGCCTTATCACGTCTTTGAGACGTCTCAAAGCGCTTCATAGAATATAATGTAAAATGAATTGACTGTATATTTGTGGGTGAGATGATTGTTTAATGTCTCAAATTAATGTCTCAATGTCTCCTGTATGGTACAGTGGAAAAATGTACATTTCCTATAAGAGCCAGTGAAATTCAATGGAGGTGCAATATATTCCCCATTGTTTTATGTTTTGTGTGTGTGCATGTGTCTCTGTATTGCAAAAGCTCTGGAAAGAGTTTCCCAGTTCTGGATTATAGACTTCATATAGTTTATGAAGTGTCTGTTTTAACAGATCAATGTGTGTGTTGTGATTCTGGATTTGCTGTATATTGTTATTGACGCATCTTTTGCATGATCTCTCCCTGTTTGTGTCTCTGTTAACTGGACGAGGCTTCATTGTAAATTCGACCGTTGAGTCACTTCACCTCAACCGGGGAACGCAGGTTGGAGCTTATTTCACTTTGAGACATGGCAGCTTTAATCTTAAAGGCAATTGTTTCAATTGGGTAGTGCTAGCATTGTAGAGTCTTGTAGTGTATTGGTTAGAGCACCTGCCTTTTAAACGAGAGGACCCAGGTTTGATTCCCAGGTGGGGCGAAACCTTAAGCAAGTTTCCTTACTTCACAGGCCTCTGTTTACCTAGCAGTAAGTAGGAACCCGGTTATTAGTCGTTTCACCAATCGCTTTCCAGGAGGTATTAACCCCTTCAAAAATAAATAAATAATAATTTGATCATTCAATCCACGACTGTTTTGGGACACTGCTGTGTGCAATTGGCTGCCGTGTTTCGCCCACAAAAATATACAGTCAATTCACTTTAAAGTATATTGTGTGAAGCGATTTAAGACGTCACAACGACATGACACTATAACAAATGTAAGGATTAGGATTATTCTCATTATTGTGCAGACAGTAAGGCAGGGTTCTCAACTGAAGGGTTACTGAAACACCCCATTAAGAATACCCTCCTCCCACCCACCCAGCCACCCACCAAAAAAACGATTACAATCTTTTAAAACTTCTGCGGGAAGTGGGGTGGGGAGGGGTGGTTCCAGCTCAAAGAATAATAATAATTATTATCTCGTTGTTGAGACATCTCAAAGCAGGTGAAATGTTCACATTAATGCAGAAAATGCTGAATATTTCAACAACTTGCATTTATATAGAGTCCTTCATGGCGGTAGCGACTTGGAGCACTTATATCTCATTATTATTATCTTCAATGTTTAGGATGCAAGGATTTTTTAAAATTGAGATACAGGTCAGCCATGAATCATGATCCAATAGAATGGCGGAACAGGCTCCAGGGGCTGAATACCCTATTCCTGTTCCTGTGTTCCTAAGTGTGGCCATTTTCCAATTTTGCTGTAATTAACAAGTGTACGGTTGAAGGGACTACAAATCTCTATTTATGATTGCTGTGTATAACTGGTGATAATAAGCATTGGCTCAGAAAGTGGCATGTGTCGGAAATGAAAATCGGCAACAGATCACTTATTTAGATGTATGATTTTAAAGAGATATCTTTAATCGTATTGTGGGATCATCCACTTCACAATTCATTCCCTGACAAACGTTTCCTTTTTGTAAATTCCATCTCCACGTGTTCAAATTTCTTACTATTACTTTATCACTTTACTCTCAAATTTCTTCTGTCTTTTAAAAAAATTTCTCCTTGAAGTTTGCAAACGCCGAAATGACCTTCTGCATGACCTGATCTCTCCGCCTTTGCTCAGCCGTGTTGTAATCTATCGCATTTGTGCTCAAGAAAAATAAAACTTGTCTTCAATTTTTGAGTTTGGTTTCAGTGTTTGTGTTTGTGTTCTGTGCCCAGTCTGTCCCAGTCTTGGTTCGCATGTGATATCAGCACACACGGGTGATGTCAGCGCACAGGCAGGTGATGTCAGCACACACGCGGGTCATGTCAGCACACACGCGGGTCATGTCAGCACACGCAGGTCATGTCAGCACACACGCGGATCATGTCAGCGTACATGCGGATCATGTCAGCACACACGCAGGTCATGTCAGCACACACGTGGGTCATGTCAGCACACACAAGATATCAAAAGCTAAAGTTTCTCACAACTGTTCTGAAGATTTATTCCTGTAGCTCAGTGGTTAGAGCACTTGCCTCACGAGCGAGAGACCTGGGTTCGACTCCCAGTCAGAGCGAAACCTTGGGCAAGTTTCCTTACTCCACACACCTCTGTTTATTAGCAGTAAGTAGAAACCCAGTTGTTAGTCGATTGGCGGGTCACTTTTCCGGGGACAATAATTCCTTAAAAAATTATGATTTGGTCACTCAATCCATAACTGTTTGTGGAACTCTGGTGTGTGCCATTAGCTGCTGCATTTCATCCACAAAATATACACTTTACAATATATTCTGTGAAGTGCTTTGAGTCATCTCAATGACATAGTAAGGCACTATCTCAAATGCAAGGATTATTATTATAATTATTTCACGTGTGTTGATGTATTGCCTGTGAGCTATTATTCCAGTTTACTCGGTTTGATAAAATAAATAGCATGTTGGGCCTTGTTGGTGAATTAAAAATGCCATTTTTTTAAACAATGACCTTGATTAAAAGTCTCTGGAGTAAACCAATACAATGGTTTTGCGGTCTTAATCGGTTTTTATTTAATCCATTTAGATTTTTCTTTTGGTTCGAGCCATTTTGACTTGACCAGGATACTGAGGACTTGGGAGGATGAGATGAAATGGGCCAAAAATTTTATAAAATATTCTTTGCATTTGATACCTTGCAATTCAAGAGGACGTTGCTACAGCGCTTCACAGGATATAGTGCAAAGTAGAGTGACTGCATTTTGTAGGCAAAGAGACATTTTACAAAGGTGAATCCAGTTTTTAATGCGTGTAAGCAATCTGTCATCATTTTAGCTTTCATTCCAGAAATAAATTAATTAAAAAATAAACCTAGATTTTCTCTAGATTTGTATAACCACTTTCTCAGTGGATCAGCTAACTGTGCAGTATTTGCTGCAGGTTTTGCAGTGTTGTTTGATTATATATTGTGCAATACTGCGTGCATCCACTGGAGGGGTTAGAGATGGAGCAATTCTGGTGTTAGTTGGGCAAACTTCAGTGGGCAAGAGAGATGGTGAAAGAGGTATTGAGAAAAACTGGAAATGCAAGATGATTGTGCAGACAGGAGGTCTCGACGCTGAGAAAGTGATCCTGTAAAAAGAAGTGGTTTCCAGTTCAATTTTATTCAGGCTCCAGTTAGACACACACACATACACTTTTCAACCAATACTGTGATATCTAGTACAGCAACAATGCCCCATAATTACATGAGTAACACATGCCTCTGTTACTGCAATACATACTGAGCACAAACGAACAAAATGTACAGCACTATGAAAATCAAAACTACAGTGAAACTCAAATAACTCATCCCTGGGATAAGCAGTCAATCCCACATAACTACTCACTCAATATCCTGGCTATTCAAGTACTTTGTATTCTCGAGATACTGTACTGTGGATAACTGGTTAGCTCTGATAAGTAGTCATCTGACCTACTTCCCTTGGAGTGACGCATTATCAGAGTTCCACTGTAATTGACAAATGTTTAAAACATGACTGTTTGGAGGATGTTGCCCTGCACAAATTGGCTGCTGCGCTCGCCTACAAATACACAGTCAGTAAACTTAACAGCAATTACCCGTGAAACGCTTTGAGGCATCTCAATCTGATAGGCACGACATGAAATGAGAGGGTTATAAATATTCTTGAGAGTGAATGTATGTGGTGCTGCTTTGATGTCTTAATTCACTACAATACTTACATTGATTATTCTTTAAAAAATTACAACAGTAACTATGTCTTTGATACGATAAAGTGCCATGGCAGAATTAAAGAGATGGGGATTTTCTCAACGGAATAGGGATCGACCTTAATTTGGTCACTCAATCCACGACTGTTTGTGGGACGCTGCTGTGTGCAATTCGCTGCCGCGTTTCGCCCACAAAATATACAGCCAATTCACTTTACAGTATTTTCTGTGAAGCGCTTTGAGACGTCTCAATGATGTGCCAAGGCGCTATATCAAATGCAACGATTTATGTTATATATATATTAATATTTGTGAGATCAATACTTTAGGTTACATTTGCGATACTGAACAGCACCAAAGCAAAAAGATGAAACATCAATGCAAATTCTCACTCAGTGATATTTTGGGGGAAAAAACCTTGAAATGTGCAGCCTGATGCCAAAAGTTACAATTTCATGCAGCAGGAAGATAACAATTACCATTGAAATGTGGTAAACAAGCAGCTGACAGATTGGAAGTGGGGGGGCAGTGCCTGGGGAGCACAGGGGTGGGGTGTGAGGGGGGTTGAGGGTGGGGGTGGTGGTGTCTGTTATTGTATTTTGAACATTTGTGTTGAAGTGTAGAGAGTTGACGTTTGTTGTTAGGCCTCAGCGATGGTGGGGAGCAGGCAGGCCCTCTTTTGTGTGTCCTTCCAAGCACTCCGGCACTTGGACACCCAGCTGCTGATGGAGACCTGCTTATCCGCAGCACCACTCGCTCTACGGGTCTGGGAATAGGCCAGGCTCCTCAGGCTGTCAGCAAAGCGGCTCATAGCAGGCAACTGCCCTCCTCTAACATCTCCCACCACCGCTGGCGGCCTCGTCTGAATTTTCTGTAGGAACCTCTGCGCATTGCCGTTAGGCGCCTTTTCCATGGGGAGCTGAGACCACGATACATTTAGTGGCACCAGATTCCTCCGATCGTTACCCCCGGCGTTTGAGATCCGTTGTATTTTTGCACGGACGTCGCCGCCCTCCTGACTGGGATCTGACTTGCGTGAGGATGATTCGGAGCAAACGTTCTCCCCTCGCCATGATCTGGGGGGAGAGAGGCACGGGAAGCGGCAGGCCCTGGCCACATAATGCTCCTCCTTCATCAACATCTCATGCTTTGCGGACGCAGTGGTCGCCCCTCGACCTACCACAAGTTGCTCGATAGCTTTGGCGTGAAGGGAGTACGTGCAATTGTTCACAGAAACATGCAGGTGACCCTCTCCATTTTCTTGTCCATAAAGTTCTTCCAATGGGTTGGCCTTGGCAGGTAAAGAGGTCTCATTGGTTTTGTGAAACACGGAGGTGATGCTGCCCAAGGGTATGACATCTCTGCAGATGTTCAATCGGTCGGGGCTGCTATTTTCTAAATGTATTTTATAGGGGAGGCCGTTGACTCGGGGCAGTTTGGCCAGGCCATGTCCCTGGCCGTGTTCCTTGCCGTGTCCCAGGCCGTGTTCCTGGCCAAGGAGGTTGAGCTTGTTGATATGCTGAATGTCACACGAGCTGCTGGCAGCGGCCAGCGCCGGATTTGCCAACTGGCAGATGGACCTCAGGTAATCGTCGGCCGAGGCAGCCTCCGAGTGGATGTAATATTTCCCTGGCCACTGTGAGGCGCTGCTGATATCTTGCAGCATCTCCTCGTAGGCCTCTGTAATCGTTGGGAGTTGGGCGACGGAGATCAGTTTTGATCCAGGCCTCATGGCTGGGGTGAGGGGGGGGGGGGGGCGGGAGAGAGAAAAACATAGCATATCACCATGAAACAAAACACACTTATTATTGCTAAAATTTACCTCCTGATGTGAAAGGCACTATACCAAATGCAAGGATTATTATTATTATATTTGCATAGATAATTCTCAGGACATACAAATTAAGATTTAACAGTTGTTATGTGTGCCAACGAGCTTCACTCTTGCACGTTATTGTTTGCAAGTGTAGACTTTAATATTTCTATAAGCATCTTGTTATGATTTAATGTTATTACGGTACATACATTTTAATGAATATTCGGCTCAAGAGAAATATAACAGCCTAACTCTCCATCTTAAATGATGACGCATTAATAACTGCAAGAATGAAAATGAAACAGGAATCAGTCTTCAAATAAAGATTTAGTTGTAGGTTTTATTCTCTCTCTATATAAAACATTCCCAGAATGTTGGGCCAGATAAAATGGATATCGTCCCCAGTGAATTTTAACTACGGCATTAATTTTCATTAATCACTTTCACGCACGGATGAATCTCACCGCAAATTACAGGGACCATGTGCTGGAAATGAGGCAGAAGGATCTCTCAAGTAGCCATGTTTTCTCTTTGATCGTATTAATTTTTCAAAGGGATTTTCCGGGTAATTAAATAAATGTGAGCGACTTTGATGTTAAACCTTAGCAAAGAAATCTCCAACCCCGGAAAATTTAGTCTAGATTCACTCTATTTAGGCAGCATTTTGGAGGGTCCAGACTTGGGAAAATTCTTAAATAGTTTACATTTTCAAGCCTATTTTGGCTTTTTGAAGAAACTCAAAGTTAAGACTGAATTGCACCAGGTTATGGGATGGGGGGAGTGGGTAACTGCTGGAGTCTAACCAGCTGAAACCTCATAACTTGCCATTGAGAGCACTGTCTTGCAAGCTTTCCAGCTGTTTGTCCAGCTAGGACCACCTTACCCGTTAGTGCTTTGGCTGCAGGGTTAACAGGAGCTGAGTGGGATGACTCCCTACCCCCAGGCTGACTGGTTTGCCTTCCAAGTCCTGCCGATGAGCCAGGCTGGGCTGTGCTGTCATCAGCAGTGCCCTGGAAAACTGCGGACCCACCTGGCTTGGGAAGCGGACGAGAGACCGTCACAGAGGGCTGGCTCGATTCTGACATACCGTTGCCAAGCATATCACCTTGGAGCCAGTTCAGCTCCGCTTACCTCCCCCCAAGGAGGAGAGTCACCGGCTGAGGCGTTAATAAACATTGTTCACATTAGCATCGCTTGGTGTGGTGACTCAGTAATTTGCAGGGACCTATTCATGAGCAAACTGCTGAACTAATAAGGGCCCAAATCTACAAGGAAAGCAACACAAGTGATTGAAAGGAACAAGGCTGCCGAATTAGCTGTGTGAAGAAGGGAAAAAGAATGGAATAGCACCCTTAGCCTTCCCATAACACGTATTAAAATACCCACTCCGATGCACAGCAGCAATATCAATGCAATGACAACATGAGAGCATTTGCAAATAGGTTTCCAAAACTCCTGTTTTAAGGCTTTCAAGATCCATGCTTACCTGCTGCCAATTCTGCACCCGCTGATCTGTGACTGAATTTTTTTTTGCTATGCTTTTTGATCTGCAAAAATCCTGACAGCCACAATACCTCAGTCACCACCGTACACACTGCCGGATAAAGCGTTTCTCAGTGAGCTGCTGCCGAATTGGTTTCTGCTGCTAAATTTAGATTTCTAGATCTTTCGGTTCCTGCGAGTACTTTCTTGATGGACAGCTTATGCAATGGCAGAGGAGAGGATGAAGACAGGAAGTAGGACATTTCCAGTAAGAGACCAGTGCTCTCCATTCAGAAATAACGTGACTGCAAGTCATCAATAATTCCTTAAGTGTTAATGCTGGTGCATTAAGCATTGGGTAAATGCCAGCTTTTTCATTGTGCTGAGTTTCCCAATGATTTGAATGCAAGAACACAACTGATCTTCCCTTAGAAACAGTGGATGGAAATCATCAGCAACAAAAACAAATTACATTTGTACAGCGCCTTTCACATCAGAAGCACGTCCCAAGTCACTGGACAGTCAGGGATTTGGACCCGAGCTGGGGGTTGGGCTCAGGAGCATGGAGGGCAGGGACGTAGCAGTAGGAGGGTGGCTCAAAGCTTGGTCGATGGTGGGGTGGGTGGGGGATGTGGAGCAGGCTGGCTTGGCGAACCACAGCTTGGCGACTTATAGCTGACACTGGGAGAGTGGGCCTTGGTTTATCTCTGGTGAGATGATGTAAATCAAGATCTTTGGTAAGATGCTACCACTCTACATCTCCATCTTCATCCTTGTTGTTCAAACGTGGATTCAGCAAAAACCCTCAGCAAAGCTCAGTGAATCTCTTCACAGCCAATCACTCTACCGGGTAGTGGAAATCTGGAACTCTCTCCCCATAAGGCTGTGGATGCTGAATCCATTGAAATTTTCAAGATTGATGTCAATAAATATTGTGCGGGTAAGGGATATGGAGCAAAGGAGGGTAAATGGAGTTGAGGTACAGATTAGCAATGATCTTATGAGCTTGAGTGGCTGAATGGCCTACTCCTGTTCCTATGTACGCAACAACAACAACTTGCATTTATATAGCACCCTTCATGCCAAACAGGGTCTCAGACCTCCACAGTCATATCTTACCTTTTCAATAACCGCAAACAGTCTCCGAATGCTCTTATTTGGGTAAAACTGAATCGAAATAAAGAGATGCTTCTAGAAATGATCAGGTCTTCACTACAACACTAACGTAACAGAGAAAAGTGACTTCAAAGGGGTGGGTTTTTTTTGCCACATTGTGTGTTATGAACCTACAAGCAAGACAAAGTCAGCTCTTAGCTGTAACTCTAATGTAGGTCAGAGCTTTGAATAACCCTCCCTGCCTGAAGCCAGAGGAACTTCATTGAGTAAACATGATGTATTTGACCTATTCCTATATTTGGAACAATCAGTAGATTTTGTGTTGCCAAAAGAATGTGTATTAATAGACGGGGTGTACGCTTTCAGGTCGAACATCTAACCTCAATCTCAGATCTACTTCAAAACCATTTCAGCTAGTGGAGTCCCGTGGTACAGTGGTTAGAGCACTCGCCTCACAAGCGAGAGTACCCGGGTTTGATTCCCGAGCAGGAGAAACCTTAGACAAGTTTTCTTACTCCATACGCATCTGTTTACCTTGCAGTAAGTAGGAACCCGGTTGTTAGTCGATTAGTGGATTGGTTTCCGGGGGTAATCCCTCAAAAAACAAATTGGTCACTCAATCCACAACTGTTTGTGGGATACTGCTGTGCGCAACAGGCTGTTGTGTTTCACCCACAGAATATACAGTCAATTCACTTAATAATATATTCTGTGAAGCGCTTTGAGACGTGTCAACAACGTGATAAGACGCTATATCAAATGCAAGGATTATTACAACACCAAACCTTTGCTTCTGGTATTTCATTTCCTAGACATTCAGAAAAGCGGCTCCTGGTCAGACAATTTTGGAACAGGTTTGAATTCTTACCTTTAGTCGTTAAATGTTAAGTTTCTGTCCCTGCGTTTCAACAATCAGTAACAAACTGCCCCAAACTGTAGAACTTTGAAATCTCCCTCACTGTTATACTGTGTAGTTGTGCATTATCACTATAACAGTCTGGTCCTGTGCACACAATTCCTGTCATTATATATACCCTTCAAACCAATAGAAAGATTGCTGTGATTTCTTGCTCTGTGATGATGTGTGCCAGCATGAGAGTATCATTTGGAAAATCTGAAAAGGATTAGGTGCTTCTGGACTGGGTTTTTAATTTTGGACCTCATAGTTCCTCACCAGTCAAAACAGTTTCCTAACCGACCTGCCACTTCTCTCAGATGCTTCGGTTCATGATTAAACTGAACAGATTGAAGTACAAAGTAGTTGTTGGCATTTTGAGTCAGTTTGAATCAAATAGTGTTGGGATAATTGAATTTGATATAACGACCTATCATGTTGAAATGTCTCAAAGTGCTTCAGAGTTTTTTTTGTAATGTGTAGTTATTGTGTAGGCAAACCCAGCAACCAATTTGCTTACAGCAATGTCCCACAAACAGCCATGAGGAGAATGACCAATTTATTTGGGGAATTGTTGGCCAGGACACTGGGAGAGAGAAACTCCCATCCCTTTTCGAGTTGAGCTAGGGGGTCATTTACGTGTACTTCACGTGTACTAGGTTTAACAGCTCATCTGGAGGGCGGCAACTCTGACAATGCCAGGGCTCCACTGGAGCATCACCCTGGATTGTGAGCTCAGAGTCCTGATTTGGGGGTTGAACCCACTGCCTTCTGACTCAGAGGCGAGAGTATTATAATTATTATAATAATAATCCCTCAAAAAAAACAAAAAAAATAATAAAAATTGGTCATTTTCAATCTACGACTGTTTGTGGGACATTGCTGTGCGCAATTGGCTGCCGCGTTCGCCCACAAATATACAATCAATTCGCTTTACAGTGTGTTCTGTGAAGCGCTTTCGGACGTCCTCCCGACGTGAAAAGCGCTATATCAAATGCAAGGATTATTATTATTATTATTATTATTATTATTATTATTATTATTACCAACTGAGCCAGCCAGACACCTTGTAACAATGATTGCTCTCTGAAAACTTTGAAACCCATTGAAATGTCTCAAACAGTCCCTGATATCAAAATGTAAATTCTCAGGATAAAAATCAAATCCCGGTGTAATAATCCCTGGATTCCATATAGCGCCTTACCACTTCATCGAAATGTCTCAAAGGCTTAGAGAATATACTGTTAAAATGGTTATCTGTGCAAACCAGTATTTAAAAGGTTAAAAACACGTTTACAAAAACCCTCTCTGTAATCGTGATTTTGCAATTAATACGTGTTCAACAAAAAACAAACTGACCGGATGATGTTCTTTGGATGTCAATGAATTTACTGAGTTATATAATCCTTAATTATAAATAGTCAGATGATCGAGTCACATGTCAATGACAGCACGCTCCTTGAACAGCAAGTCATTGAGAAGCTATTTTTGACTTAAATAGAAATGTGAAATATCTATAATATGAAAAAAGTCACTGAAATGTCAGCCGTCATTAAGCCCAAGCTATGATTTTCTCTTTGAGAGAATGAAGAAGTTGGGTTTGCAGCATTCAGTAAGACAGCTGATCTATAGTCACATATTCCCTGTCAAACGATGGAGCAACACAGACTTGTGTACATGAGACCTTTTTTACAAATAACATGTAGGAATTGTGTGGGCTATACTGAATGGTTGTCATGGGTTACCAAAAGATGAAGCAAAGCAAAGCTCAAACTTCCTCAAATTTCACCCACAAAAATACACAGTCAGTCCACTTTACCCCATATTCTGTGAAGCGTTTTGAGATGTCTCAACAATAAGGTGATAAGGTGTTTTATCAAATGCAAGGATTATTACAACACCAAACCTTTGCTTCTGGTACTTCATTTCCTAGACACACATAACAATAATCCTTGCGTTTGGTACAGTGCTTTTCACATCACGAAGACGTCTCAAACTGCCTTCACAGGGCGCGATATACTATATAAACGTAAGTTGTTGCTGTCGTCGTAAAAACACAAGCTCTTATGTTTTCGAGTCTAATTGGATTGGAGGCTTTAATCTATCAAGAGTCTCATTAATGCTGATTGGTAAGCATTTATTAGATGACAATGTAACTTTATTCCTCGACAAACGAGCGGTGAGGAAAATACTGTAGGGCTATTGACTGGAGCTTGTTACGAAAGCGTATAACAATAAGAAGTTTTAGGGGGGATATCATGTTGAGCTGAGGAAGTAGGAAAATAAATAAGAGGATTGTATTCACACTGTGTGCATGTAAGCTCCTTATAATTTACCACTTCTTATTCTGCGACCAGCAATAGCGGAAATCCAGGACAATAATGTGTTGTTTTGAGTTGAGCAAAATTTGTTCCATCAAGTAATTTCAACAACATGTTCTTCAGGCAGGGTAGTGTCTCGAAACATCCTGTATTCACCTCATCCAAAGTTAGCCACAGATAGTGAATGATGCGACTTTGAGCTCTCACAGTCCAGGCTGATGCTCCAATGCAGTGCTGGGGGAGCGCTGCATTGTCAGAGGTGCAATGCTTTGGATGAGACGTTAAACCGAGTTCATATCTACCTGTTCAGGCAAATGGTAAAGACCCCACAACTCTATTTGAAAAGCAAAGGGAGATTCTCTCTCAGTGACCTGGCCAACAATCCCCCAAATAAGATTGGTTATTCACTCCATAGTTGTTTGTAGGACACCACAGTACGCAACTTGGCTGCCACATTCGCCGAGAAACATAGAAACAAGGGTAGGCCATTCAGCCCCTCAAGGTTATTCTATAAGATCATGGCTGATCTGTACCTCAACTCCAATTACCCACCCTTGCCCCATATTCCTTGCCACCCTGACCTAGCAAATATCAATCCACCTCAGTCTTGAAAATATGAATGGATCCAGTATCCACAGCCTTTTGGGAGAGAGTGTTCCAGACTTCCACTAGCCTTTGGATGAAAAATTGCCTCCTGATTTCACTCCTAAATGGCCTAGCTCTAATTTTAAGATTATGCCCCCTTGTTCTGAATTCCCCCACCAGAGGAAACAGTTTCTTTGCATCTAAATGCAAGGATTATTATTATTAATTATTATCTACCCTATTGAATCCCTTTATTATTTGAAGCATCTCAATCAGATCACCCTTCAACCTTCTAAACTCAAGGGAATAGAGACCAAGTTTATGCAACTTGTCCTCATAATTTAATCATTTAAGCCTACAAAATATACAGTCATTCCACTTGACAG